TTGTTTGTGCTGTATTTAGACCCGTCTAACAAGAAATTTGTTTTGCATGCACACGTATAAAAATTGCGGTTTTTATCCAACGCAATCATAGGTTTGAACGTTGTTTTCAATTTAGACTTGTTTATATTTTTTCGTTTGGGCTTGTATTATATTTGCCTTCGGGTTTATATGATCCGTTCATCCTATTTTGACTCCTCAAAATTCAAGAGTCTATCCTAAATTGAGGTAAACTTTGTGGCCTTCCAATAGCTGTTTCGATTCCTAACATCACCGAAGAGACATTAATTGTCGAAACCCGGATATGGTGTACAAACAATCTTTCCACCTTTGTTTGCGGTATACCATCTTTGCTGCAAGTTTATTGTTTTCTGTTTGGTATTAAATTGATAGTTAAGATCCATTTATTACACCTTGTGATCCGTTTATTTGGCAATCACCAATGCCAGTCAGCAGGATTAAAGAACATTTGTTGTTCGACCTGTTAGTCAAATGCGTTTTGTTACAATATACTTTTTAACTTTTTTGGTCTTTTGGAAAATGTTGTTTGTGCTGTATTTAGACCCGTCTAACAAGAAATTTGTTTTGCATACACACGTATAAAAATTGCGGTTTTTATCCAACGCAATCATAGGTTTGAACGTTGTTTTCAATTTAGACTTGTTTATATTTTTTCGTTTGGGCTTGTATTATATTTGCCTTCTGGTTTATATGATCCGTTCATCCTATTTTGACTCCTCAAAATTCAAGAGTCTATCCTAAATTGAGGTAAACTATGTGGCCTTCCAATAGCTGTTTCGATTCCTAACATCACCGAAGAGACATTAATGGTCGAAATCCGGATATGGTGTACAAACAATCTTTCCACCTTTGTTTGCTGTATACCATCTTTGCCGCAAGTTTATTGTTTTCTGTTTGGTATTATATTTATAGTTAAGATCCATTTATTACTCAATGTGATCCGTTTATTTGACATATCCAAAGCAGTCAGCAGGATTTAAGAACATTTGTTGTTCGACCTGTTAGTCAAATGCGTTTTGTTAAAATATACTTTTTCAATTTTTTGGTCTTTTGGAAAATGTTGTTTGTGCTGTATTTAGACCCCTCTAACACGAAATTTGTTTTGCATGCACACGTATAAAAATTGCGGTTTTTATCCAACGCAATCATAGCTTTGAACGTTGTTTTCAATTTAGACTAGTTTATATTTTTTCGTTTGGGCTTGTTTTATATTTGCCTTCGGGTTTGTATGATCCGTTCATCCTATTTTGACTTCTCAAACTTCAAGAGTCTATCCTAAATTGAGGTAAACTATGTGGCCTTCCAATAACCGATTCGATTCCTAACATCACTGAAGAGACATTAACTGTCGAAATCCGGATATGGTGTACAAAAAATCTTTGCACCTTTGTTTGCGGTATACCATCTTTGCTGCAAGTTTATTGTTTTCTGTTTGGTATTAAATTTATAGTTGAGATCCATATATATAAATTTGTTTTGCATGCACACGTATAAAAATTGCGGTTTTTAGCCAACGCATTCATAGGTTTGAACGTTGTTTTCAATTTAGACTTGTTTATATATATCTTTTTGGTCTTTTGGAAAATGTTGTTGTGCTGTATTTAGACCCCTCTACCAAGAAATTTGTTTTGCATGCACACGTATAAAAATTGCGGTTTTTATCCAACGCAATCATAGGTTTGAACGTTGTTTTCAATTTAGACTTGTATATATATATATATATAATATTATATACATGTATATGGAGTTTTGCTAACTATACTGTAACTTCTAACCTGCCAACTATAACAAAATCATAATCTTAAACGGCCATTTTGATATTACATTAGCTAAAAGTCTGAACTTAAAAACGTTTAGTCTTATTCATTGTCAGTGTTATAAAAGAGGTTAATTTATTTTTCAGATAATCTCTTATTGTAGATATGGTATTTCAAACGCAATAAATCCACTTCTCTTTGGTTAAATGTCAAACGATTCAGAATTGTGTAGGTCTTTAAAAGTATATAACACCTACTCTCAAACATAGTTTATAAGGGTCACCCTTGGGCTGGAGAAAGCTGACCTTTTAAGAGAGGGTATTTTTTTTAATTTGAAATTCGTTTTGTATAGGTATTACTTTAGCGGAAAAAAGTGGAGGTTGACCTTACAGGACAGTTTTTTTGCTTAATAGGGGTGCCCGTTATAGCAGGTTTGACAGTTTATCTGAAGAACAATTTGGGAATAAAATGACAACAATTAGCATCTTTGATTAATAACTAATACTGCAAAAGAACAACATGATGACACATCAGCAATAACTGATAACAACGATAGTCTGCTAGGTGACGAAACGCAGTGTTCTGATTTAAGCTTTTTGTTTTATCTATCAGATTACAGACAGTCAGCTGATAAAATAACACAGACACTTATCAATCAATAAATACAGAAAATATCGAAATGCATTCATACAATTTTATCGGTTCATGATATAATCAAAATACAATGATTTTTCCAAGCAGTTTGATGAGAGACAAAACACAAGATTTTATCCCAGTTGGTTATTTCCGAAAAACCTGGTTAGTAATAAACAAAAACGCAAGGAGGTGAATTGAAAATGAAAAACATCTTAAACATAATTTACACTATTGTTTCAGGTAAGGGTGAAGGTAGGTACCTTTTAACACGTTAAAACACGCTGCATTTGTTTGCACCTATTCTTAGTCAGGAACCTGATGTTCATAGTACAAGTATCTATCGTAGTTTGAACGTACAATGCACCAAAATTTCGTGATTTGTTTCAGTTTAAACAAGACAGTTGGTGTTACGTTCGGTAAATAGTTTTTGTCAATATGAAAATAACTCAACAGATTGACAAATCTTAATTCACATTTACGGAGTACATGTACTCGGGAAGTATTTTATTTTGTAAAACAGGTAAAGTATAATTGATAAGAGCTATACAATTTAAAAAATATAACATCAATAGTAATTGACCCCAGGAAATCATTTCGCTTTCCCTTTTCTAGTGATTTCGAAATGAATAACGGACACAGGAAAAGCATTGTCTACATATGAAACTTCAATGAAACTTCAAACTAGAAAGTTGTTTTAACTTTATATTCTATTTGATATTCTTTAATAATGTGCTAGTTCGTACCTTATGTCTTAAAATAGAATTCAAGCAGAATATGTACAATTATTTGTACCGTAAAGAAATAAATAAACATTGATTTCATATTTCTGTTTTAAACATGTGGGACAGAAGGAAATGTATGATTGTATTCTTGGAAGCTTTTCAGGTGATAGGTAATGTACTGTTAGTGCTAACATGTAAAATTGGCTGCCGATGTAATGCCGAAAAAGCTATTATGGACTTTATATCCAGGAGCAAGAACATTTCTTTTTTCAAATCTGTACATTAAATAATAATCACTAAGAACCGAATACATATTGACTATTACACAATGTTAACCGCAAATTTTCAGCTATACACAAATTAGTACAAAACGAATACACAGTTCTTCTAATCTTGACATTTTCTATTAAATTTAGCCATATGAAAAAAACTGCTTGTAATTATATATGAGTGTCTGGCTTCAGACATACCGATGGGAGCAATGTCTAGGTTCCTTACATGGTACAAGCACATGCACTAGAGCCTCTGTTTACATAGTATGTTAATAATGCGAAGTTATAAATTGTACCAAAATTTACCGAATTGCAATGAAGAAATTTTTACAACAATCTGTATACAATTTTGAAAGAAAAATGCCAAAATTTAGTTCACTTATTTTGGCATGTATTTTTTTCGTAAAAAATAAGTATTATTTCATTCTATTATACAGCTAACATACAAGAAGTATTTGTTACGATTGGTTATACCACTGTCTTGAATTGTACATGCATAAGTCAAGCACGGAAACTGGGTGGGACCAAATAGGTCGTTATCAAAGACAAAAACTTTAAAAGGAGAAAAATTGTAATTTGATTATAACAATATTTTCTATTGATGATGAAGGGAAATAGAAATGTCAATACGTTGAAAATCTTAGAACAAACAGCCATGTTTACAAAGTTTTTCTCACACGTGAGTATTAAGTTTAACTCTGAAATGTTTACCTGGGATAGAATTTGATTGTAATTCAAAATTATTTTGCTTTTCAACATGTTTAAAGGCGTTCCGATCTATGGCGTTGTTCTGTTTGAACGGGTTTTCATTTCGGCTGATAGTTGTCTGCATTTGTCATGTAGGCGCTAATTCCGACATGTTTCATAATTTTAAATCTGCATATAAGAGAAATATGTTTATAATTTTTGGGATTATATTTGGTACTTTTCATGTATATGAAGGGGAAATGTGTAGTTTGCAAATTTATTGGCATTTCGCCAGTGTCTTATTATGTTTCGCAAATAAATGAAAGGATGTTTATTATGTCATGAGCTACTTTTTTAAATCAAGGATAAGCTCCTTTATACAATTGTCTGTAATCGTGCGTGTTCTGATAAAATGTTTTATTTTGCCAGTACAATGATGTCCAAATTCATTCTTGTATATCATGTATATAGTGATTGGATATAAAAGTAAAATACTTAACTGATGAAATTGATATTGTTATCAATATTTTAGGACAACCCACATGTTTATAAGAGTCTGACGTGTACCATATAAGTCCAATTATCAGTAGAATACGAAAAATGAATAGAAAACATATTTTAGAAATATTGGTTTGTTATATCTTGATTCCTAGAAATATTGCTTTGTTATATCTTGATTCCTAGAAATATTGCTTTTTTATATCTTGATTCATAAAAAAAGGCTCAGATAAAATAAACTGTTTGCTTCTAATTTTTAGAAAAGATCATTTGTGATAATGTTTTGATGTAGTAATATTTGAAAAAGATGCTGTTGCACATTTCTAAATATAAATTACAATGTCTCAAATAAGATAAGTGTAGCTGCTTTTGCATAAACATTTGACACAAAATTTATATATATTTCCTAACTGACATTTGGAATACTTGTAGTCAAAGTGCTATCAAAGTGAGACGATTTACAACCTGCATAATGAATGAATGTCTCATGCTATTGATACTCGTTCTGTTGCTTTTATAATTTCTGAATTCGATTTACAGAGAGCAGAACAGCCAGCCCATCAGTTGACTCTACTGTTTGTGAGTTTTAAAGCTAGCATTTCATAGAAATTTATATCAATAATCATGATAATAGTAATAATAAAATGTTATGATTAACTGACATATTTGTGATGTAAAATCGTTTTTGTCAATTGTTCTGTTTGCTTCTTGGTGGTTTCTCGTTACAATGCTTTCTCATTTTTTAAATCTTATTACAGTTACACCTACAACCAGCACAGTTGTCATTTCATCAGGTGAGTTTTCATGGTAACATTTACAAATAGTTATAACATAAGAAATAATTAAATATTATACTTATATCTTTCCAACATACATTTCCTTTGTTGCATTCAAAATTAACTGTTATGTATGTACACGTGATGTAACGGACAATTTTTATCTTTTAAAACATTGGATCCTTTTAATTCTATTACTTCAATAAATTGTTGACATTTTATTTCAGTTAACAATACGACAACCGCTTTAGTTGACCATTTATCAGGTGAGGTTTATGTCTTAAATTAGAAAAAAAACGTTGTTAAAATAACAACAACAAAAATAGATAGTATCATTGAGTAAAATTGAAAATGTAAATGGGGAATGTGTCAAAGAGACAACAACCCGACCATAGAGCAGACAACAGCCGAAGGCCACCAATGGGTCTTCAATGCAGCGAGAAACTCCCGCACCCGGAGGAGTCCTTCAGCTGGCCCCTAAACAAATATGTATACCAGTTCAGTGATAATGGACGTCATACTAAACTCCAATTTATACACAAGAAACTAAAATTAAAAATGATACAAGACTAACAAAGGCCAGAGGCTCCTGACTTGGGACAGGCGCAAAAATGATACAGTTTCATCATTACTTGTTTATCATTCGCTAATATTTGTGTTATGCAACATCGTTTTCGAATTTATACAGTTTGCTTTTTTCTTGAATATATGAAACAAATGTTAAGAATGAAATCAGATGTCCAATCTAATGAAATGTAAAAGGAAAGTCCAATGCAAATACACGGTAAAACACAATATTAACGTTGTAAGAAGTAATAAACAACCTCACCATAGAAACGAGGGTACACATTTTGTATACCAGACATGCGTTTCGTCTTCCTAAGACTACCAGTGACGCTCGATTCAACAAGGTGAAAAAGGCCAAGTAACGTACCAGGTTGAAGAGCATTTAGGACCTCAAAATCCGAAAGGTTCTGCCGTATACGGCCAAAGCAATCTAAATATTCCTTAAAATTAAAAAAAAAAAGTGTATGTAGTTAATCTGTAATGAAGACCATATCAATTTTAATTCATGTCAATACATAACTGATGATTACTGGGCTAGTGATACGTTCGGACAGACAACATCCACCAGCAGTGGTATCGATCCAATTGTTGTAAACAAACTTATCATAGATAATAACATGAATTTATATTACGTGGTTGTTCGTCTAAAACTTCGTTTGAAAACACGAAACTAAATTTAATTTTTGAAGCTGTATAGGATAACAGATTCTGTAAATAAATATTTGTTGTTACTGTTTTACCTTTTTCAATTCAAAGATTTTATTTGACAGCAATTTCAAGACGGCGCTTAATCTTAATTCTCAGAAAATGTCCATGTGAACAATGTTGTCATATTTATCAATCAGATGTTTGTTATCTTCAGATATTAGTTATTATTTTTTTTATGAAAGGTTTTGTGAACTTATTTCATTTTCGTCGTATTTTGTTATTTTTTTCAACTTACTTTTTATTTTTGTCTCCAATGATGTGTTTTCAATTTTTCTTGGTATATGCATCATATAAGTTTCATAAGTAGTTGATCTGTTTTTATAAAAGATCTTATATTCAAAGTTAAAAATAATATTAGTACCAACATTACATGCATAATGCATATTATTGAAACTAAGGGTAGGCTATTCCAAGTATAGAGAAAGAGAATTTGATGTCGTTCTTTACTCCCGAATCTTATTCATATTGTTCTTTTATCTACTTAGTTATGCATCATTTTCTATGAAGCTAGTGTTTGCAATGTGAATGAAGTAAAATCAATGTGATTTTTTGTATTGTAAATAATACTTTTGAAGAGTTGAAGCCTGATTTAAACAAAATTGCAGCATAATGTCATTTTATAAAAAAAATAATCTTAGTATAGTCTAAATACGAATATGTAATATACCTGATTTCAATACTTTTATTTTAATTCCTTTCCAGACAACGACTTTACCTCTACATTTGTATATGGCTTTTGTTGGATAATAATGGGCAGTATAGTTGGAGGCATTGTTGTAGCATGTGGTTGCTCACATATTTTCTGCTGCATTAAGCGTGCAAAAACCGGGAAGAAGATTTTTCACATAAATCCAGATGACAACTATGATGAAGTCGAAACTTTCAATTATAACAATGCTATTTTTGATCATACAGCCAACAATACAGAATTGAATAATGATAATGTCTCAAGCAGTATCGAAAGTAACGATATTATATTAAGGGCCGACGTTGTTGGCTCTGATGACAGCTCTTCAATAAAACAATCTGGTGATGGTTATGAAAATCCGTATCAAGCGATAAATCCTTGTGATATCGATATGCATCATTATAGTAACATTATCTCAAGCAATTATCAAAACACGATGATATTTCCACCTAGCTTGTCGAAAAATACTTCCAAATACTTAAATATTTCAATGGATAGTCTTATAAATCACTGGCTTGTAATATACAAGAGAAAAAAAATGAGCTGAATCAAGAAAATTACAAAAGACATGCGATCACAGAGAGACCAATTTTGATCGGAAGAGCCTGTACAATAACTTATTGCATAAGTTTCAGATTTATATAACTATCTTTATTTGTATCTTTGCGCTAATTAATAATCATCAACCATTCAATATTTCTTGAATTTGCCTCAATCGTGATTACTCCTTAAATGACATGAGCATTTGGTACATATGTCTGAATACGTCAAATAAAATTAAAGACTGTGCAAAGGACAAAACAGGCAACGCGAGTCATTTGAACGGAAGTAACAAAATTAGCGTCTTCTAAAGAACGCATTTTTTTTTTAAAGAAAATAATACAAAAATATGAATAACATCTCGTGCGAACTTTCCACATGATTTTTTTTTTTAAATTTCAGCATGCATATTATATTTTATCTTACCGCCTATACATTTCTAGGAATGTGATTTGTTAAAAGCGCCCTCGTGGAGAGCGTGTATATTTCATATTAGGTTAGTAGGGAGGCGGGGCTTATCTCATACACGGTTAGTAGTGGTGTTACGTCCCTTTATATTCCTGATAAGGTAGTAGGGAGGCGGGGCTTATTTCATACACGGTTAGTAGTGGTGTTACGTCCCTTTATAAAAACAAAACGGTATTGAGAAAAAATCGTAAAGGTTTCAACAGACGAAGAAAGTATTGATTAAGATTGAAATTAATTCACGAAACACATTTAAACCTAACAAGTTGTTATTGTTGGTATCTGTTTTTGTAGGATCATTGGAAGTAGTTTCTTAATGCTAACAGTATTGAAGACTTGCTCATTTGACAGGTCACTAGTCTAAATTTCACACGTTAAGATAGTCGGTAAGATAAATTCGTTACATAGTGTGCTAGTGACCTAATACGGTATATATGGGGTCAGTAAATTCCATATGGGGTGAGAGGGACGAAAGATACCAGAGGACTGACAACGCCATGGCCAAAAATAAAACGACAAACAGACAAATAATAGTACAGATGACACAACATAGAAAACTAAAGACTAAGCAACACGAACCCCACCAAAAACTGGGGGTGATCTCAGGTGCTCCGGAAGGGTAAACAGATCCTGCTCCACATGTGGCACCAACCATATAGTCAGATTTTAAAGGCCATACAACTGGGAAACTTATTGCCGAAGTTATACAGCATTATTTTAGTTGAACGAATAAAACAACCACTGAATAACAGGTTTTGACCTAAAAAATGTGCATACATAATGTGACGTAGATAAACCTGTTTGTAGGTGCTTCAAACCACCTCTTCTAGCCCCCCTTCTGACTCCTCCTGAGACAGATGTGTAACAATATAACCTAGGAAAAACCTATACAAATTAATATCAGTTGAAAAGTGCCAAACTCATCATATCGATACAAAGCATACAAAGACAAGAGGTACAGATCTGAGTAACCCAGTACTTCAGTTAATGACAGCTAGTTCAAAGCTAATAAAAGCTAAAACTTTTAAATAAATTAGAAATATTAAATCATTGTTATAATGGTTCTAGTTCAAAGTTGTCATTTGTACTTTATATGTACTTATTTCCTGTTCCTATTGTTTTCAATAAATGATAACGGATAATGACATTCGATAGAAGGAAGAATTGAAAAATAATTATTTGTTTACATTGATGTCATCAACATTATCACAAAAAATGCACAAACCTTATTAAATTCTACATATGTCTGTAATCAATTTGTTGTGGGTTCATTTTCCCTATACGTTCGTTTGTACTACACAATAGCCGAAAATGTGACGTGACAATACAATACGATAGAGAACATTTTCAAGAATCTTCAGCGAGTATATTAGTTTGAATGGAATGCAGAGAAAAAGTTTTACTGCACATACATGCATAACAAGGTTAGATTTGTTTAATTCCTAAAGATACATATTTTCATTTAAAAAGAATTTTGTTATTTCGAGAAACTTAACTGCAGAATGTTTACTATCTTTATTTTAATGTCAATAGAAAATAATAATACGTGCATATAGTTTCACCGAAAGCCTTCAATCTTACTATAATGTTATGAAGTAAAACAGTAATCGCAGAACTTACAATCTACTTACAAATGGCACTGTAACCAAAGGTAATTCACAATTAAATAGTAAAATAAAAAAAATACTCAACTCCGAGGAAAATTCAAACACTTAAAACGAATGGATAACAACTATTATATTCCTGATTTGGTATCAAATTCTATTATATTGACAACGATGTTTGAACAAAAGTGTCAAAATAGGGATACAGCAGTCAACATTGTGTAATAATCTTAATCACTATAAAAACAAACAAATATGTAACAAAGAAACACAAAATAGGCATATAGACAAAGCACAGTAGCAAAAATGAAAGACAAGAATACAAAAATTTACAATAGCACAATAACGCAATGGCGGGATGTATAAGGTGTAATACCACCAAATGATAGTACGTCACATCCGGTTGCATACGAAAATAGGTCGAAAAAAAATATTCCCTTGAATTTGACAGTTGTAGGTAATTGATCCTACATTTCATTGCAGTAAAACATTTCTGAGTCATGAACATATATCTTGGGTATTTCAAAGCACCATTATTTCTTTATTTGGGGTTTCTATAGAATATTTTGGAAACTTGAGGTTACATGGTTACTAAAGCTTGTACACAGGTTAAAAAAGGGGGAATATTTGATTGGTTAACTTCCAGTGATGGTTATTTTCTTATATGCAATGAAATGTTATGTGAAAT